GCTAAGTTGGTATTATCAAACCATTTTTTTTGTGAACAAATTCTAACCAGATTTAGCGAAGTACTTAGTGGAGCAGATTTAATTTTGGCAAGTATCGAACCACTTCATACAGAAAGAGACCTTTTGATACCACTGGTACCTCTTAGAACTAATTATTCCCCTGCCATCTGCACATAACTCTACACATGTTTCCTTTTCAATATATCCAGTTCCCTATTGTATAGATTTTGTTTAATTTGTTTCTATCATCTTTCAAGTCATAGGTTTCAGTGAAAAAAAATCTGATTTCCCCTCAAGGCTTTTTGCTAATTACTTTAAATCGCTGCCCTTTGGCTGACTGACCCTCCCACCAGTTGAGACAATTTCTCCTAATTCATTCATTCAAAAGCCTTCACAATTTTGAATACCTCCACTAAATCGCCCCTTAACTTTAAGTGCTGCATATTGGCATTTGTTTGCAGCAACCAGTCAAGTATACTGAAGGCTAAGTAAAACCTTAACAAGGAGTCTGAGCGTGCTTAGCAATGGTATGAAATATGAATTTCAGCAGTATTATACATTTTTTTAAGCAGAAAGAAAACTGGACCCTGGAAAGTCTTTGCTGGTGAAGCTAGAATTGTTTGCCTTTGGCTAATAACACATTTTTAGGAACAAGAAAAGATGAGGAAATTACATGGGCACATTTGCTCATCAATTCTCATTAATGATGATAAATATCCAGGCTGTTCCTGCTTGATTCTATGATTCCTTCCATCTAATTGTAGGCTTCTCCACAGAAAAAGCACAGGAAGGAATTGTGCCTGTGCCGATTTGCCAGACTTCTAAGTGCCCCTGAGTGCAGCAGCTGTACAATAAATGAGTACAATGATCCAAATTTGAAATTCAATCATTTTATTTATCACCTCTATTTTAGATTAACCTTACTTGGCATTCACTTTTACAGTGTACTGATTTCAATTTTACTGCGGTACGTAAAATTTGCCAAAGGATAAGGAAGAATAATTCACACTGAAAACAGCATTCTTTTCTCGTTCTCATCACATGAATCCAAAGTGAAAAGCGTTTCTTTTTTAACAATCCAATTGTAGTTATTACAAGGCTCTATTGTAAAAACGCTTTGGCAAGGACATATGAGTCAGACCTGTCAAATTCACACTGCAACTTTGTGAATCCTTCGAGATTGCCTGTTTAACGAATATCCGTAGGATTGCCAATTCTGTTCAATATATTTTCAAGACCTATTTTTTTAATAGCAAATTAAATGCAGAAAAATTATCCCTCGAAAAGTGTGAGACATTAAACATTGTGGTCTATGTCAGTAATCACCTGACATAAGCCCAACAAGTGCCCGTGGACACAATGTTAGTTTTATTAAATGAAGATATTCTTCCCAAAAAGGAGCTGGGTTCCAGTTAATGTTTCTTGAGATTATGTTTTATATCTTGCTGCAAATCTCTCAGCACTGTATCTCTCTTTTTGGTGGGATCTTCACAATCGTTGGTTACCTTGCTTTATAAACCAAAATTCTCTCCCATGCCATACCCAGTGCTGTACCATTCATCCCCTCAGATTTATTGCATGTGCATTCGTCATCCATTTACTGAAATTCAATCCATGCTGTCTGTGGTAGGAATAATTCTGTGATCCTGTGCTATCAATGGAATTCCGTGCTCACTGAGATTTTCATTGAGCATTCAGGTTCTGGTTCTCTGACCGACATCTCTGACTGTGAGGTCACTTGCTTGATGTGGCCGAGTGGAACTAACCCCACTTGATAAGAGAAGTGGTTGAACGCTAATGCAATACTATGCTCTATATCTCATGTTTACTCTCGAACTCATCCCTAATTTCTCTGCTCTGTGTTGACAGTTTGTTTTTCTGTTATAACTCTACGCTATGCAACAATGGTGCACTAATTATTATGAGTTTCTCCGAACTTTATTGACAAGTGGTTTTAAAAAATAAATTCTGCCATAAACTTATTGCTTTTTTCCTTCCAGCAAGTTGTACAGTGTGTTTAAGTTTTCTCTGAGTCCATGGTCAGACTTAACTAATTTGGCACAGTAAACATCAATTGTAACCAGACTCAGTCGAATAAAGAACAGTTGAATACATGGAATCTCTTATTCACCTTTCTTCCCTATTTTTATGGAATCATGAATTGTATTGTTCCACTGTTTCATCTGAAAGACTACACCTCCAACTATGCAATTCTCCTTCAGTGCTAAGCTGGATTGTGGGCCTTGATTTTTTCAGCACAAGCTCGAGTGGAACTTGAACCCCAAAACTTTTGATTCATTTAGCTCCGACTGACACATTTAAAGCAATGATGGTAAGCCTGTTTACCATTAAAATTCTTATTTCAAAACGACTATAGAACATGTTTCAGTGCTGCGTGCAACTATAAGTTACTATTTCCCATGACTGACAATGCAGAAATTCATCTATGAATACTTAACAGAGTAAAGAAGAGCTAGAACAAATTTACTGGATGGATAGTGCTGATCTGTCTGGAAATTCATAGAATCAAATGGATTTTTGGCCATTCTAACTTGGCAAGCTCTTCGAAAGAGCTGTTAAATTAGTCCCATTTGCCTCTTGTTTTGCCATTGTCCTGTAATTGTTCTTTTTCCCTTCTGTTCACGTTCTTTAGTCGTACAATATTGAGAAAAGACTTGAAATGTGGAAAGTAGGTTAGTTTGCACATAAAACATGTCGAGAGTGAAGATCATTCTATGAAACCTCTATAAAATGTATCCAAAGTGAAGATCAGGACTTGCTCCTGTTTGTTGTTGGTAACTTCATCAAAATTGCAACACGATTCCTTTACCACAGGTAATTAAAGATTCCATTGCATTTTCAGAGACATACTAGTGGTAAGATGAATCAGCTCTAAGTGAAAGTCTTTCTTTACACTCTTTTGTTCTCATTTCTTGAAGTTATTACATTTCTGAGATGCAGTGTCACCGTGCTGAACAGTCAATTGTTACCTCGAAGTCATTCTTCATGTGTGGCCTTAGACAGTTTGACTGATCATGTATTTATCCATTGACATGAAAATAGTCAAGCCTGATCTTGTTACTAGAATAGAATAGAATAGAAATTTTGTTGTTACGTATGCTTTTACATGAGTAATTGGTAAAAATTTTAATAAGTTGACCCACCATGGCACCTCCATCAATGATGGAAGTCAAACATAATAATAAAAAGAAGTAAAATTAAGACAAAGATCATCATAGTTCAGTTAGCGGGCATGAGGAAAGCCGATTTAGGAATACCCTGAAGATGCAACCGGGAAGAGACTACCATGCTGGGCCACTGGATACTGTGGCAGAAGCCTCCATCAAAGAAGATGCCATGCTGGGCTGAGACTGCCACTCTTGGATGAGACAGCCATGCCAGGCCACTGGATACTATGCTGGAAGCCTCCACTGAAGAAGATGCCATGCTGGATCGAGACTGCCACTCCTGGGCGGGACCGCCTGCTGCGCCTGCTGGAACACCTGGACACTGAAGACGAGGAAGACCTCCACACAGGGACAAGACCTCCATGCCAGGACATTACCGCCATGCTGGGAGAACTCCACACTGGGCCAAAACCACCTTTCCTCTCCTTCAGGCACCCAGGATTAGTTGTGGACCTGAATCATCAGCCGAGCCTACGGGTCCGGGCTGGGAGAATCAGCCTGGGACCTGGTCCTTACTTACCAGGAGACCTTGACTCGGGTGGATCCATGTCCATTTCATCCTAGCATTGCTGCCACTGGAGGTCTCCTCCTTCACCCACCACTTTCCATCCTTAAAAGAGAGAAAAAATAAAGGAAAAAAGAAAAAGGAAAAGAGCAAACGTAGAATGAAGAAGAAGAAAGGAATGAAAGAGAAATAATGGGAGCGGATGAGCCCCGGACTCAAGCCCCCCTACTCTGTCACCATGTTGAACAAAAATTCTGGTTATATAGGAGTATACTGGCTTATTTTTGTCTTTTAAGTTCAGGACACCAAAGTCGATTACAGCACCCAGTGTCTTCCCAATTAAAATCAAGGAGCCTAGTTACCCAAGACTGTGAATAGATTTCATGTCTATATGTTTGTGTTACATAGGGAGTGCTAGTTCCTGAGGCCACTGGGGAAAGTAAAATCAAATATATGGATATCAACGGATGTATTCCACCTGAGTTCTATTGTTGCCGAGCACGCTTCTGAAGATTTTACTTGAAAGAAATAATAGCAAATTAAGGATAAAGCATGTTACCATAGAAATGTGCAGTGTTGTAGACTGATGGTTTGTGAATGTAGGTGTACCAGATGGTGAGTCACAGGCTCCATCAGGGTCTACAGTCTTGGCAACAGATACGACTTATTACTGCAGGAAGGGAAAATACACACACGTGTACACACATATAAATACCTTTTGCCTCCTGAAAGGCAAAATCAGGTAAGAAATGACACAATTTAAAAGGACTCCTGCTGCTGGAACCAAGTATTTCCCAGGCCCATTTGGGACCTAGTATGACACTGGATGCTCATTCATTTAAACCACTACCGCCAGCCAATAGGTGATTATGAATGGATCTTGGCTAGCAATGAGTGCTAAAAAATGTTCGACAGAGAAAAACTGTAGAACAGTAATTTTGCAAGTCTACCTGCTTTATAAATGAAGCCTTTGATGTGGCCCAAAGGCTGTTATATTGATAATATTTTACATTTCTCACTTGTAAAAGATCAACTTGAGAAAATAATTTCAATCTTTACTTCTGGGAGAATGAAACGCCTTCAGTCATTTAGGGATGATCCGAAATTCCTGAGAAAGGAAAGTTACAATTCTTGAGTTTATGGCATTTTTCAGTTTTGCAGCACAATGTTTGGTGTATCTTGATGGATCCAATTTGTACACCAGATGTAGTATCTTGGTTGAAAAATCTAGTGCATAAAATATTGCTGTCCTGCTGGATCCCATTCATTACTGAAAAGTTTACTCCAATTCTTATTTTTATTTCCAGCTGTTCCTCGTACTAGTGCCACCCAGTGCAGCTCTGTTCCCGAGCCCAGGTACGGCCGAAGAATAGGTTCCGAGTTTTCTGCAGGTTCTATTGTTCGCTTTGAATGCAATGCTGGATATCACCTCCAAGGCTCAAAGGCTATTCGATGTCAGGCTGTGCCTAATGGGTTGGCACAGTGGAACGATACAATACCAAGCTGTGTAGGTAAGTGCAGATGGAATTGTCCTGTTTAATGATTCTGGGAATTCACAAGTGTATTAAGACTTATGAGCATTTTACAGCAGGTTGGTAATATGTGTAAATCAATTGACCACATTTGTGGTTTCCAGCTTCGTATTGTGTGTTGCTCCACTGCATGCAGCCTGCTTTAGCTTTCAAACCATTTACTGAAAGGTTTCGTTTGTGGAAATGCCTCGATTGGAAAAGCCAAGTAGTTTTCATCCTTCAATATCATGAAATGTATTTATTTAAAATAGATGCACTGAATAGTAGACCTCTCAATTTACAAATCATGTTACTTTGGTCTGTAAAAAGTGCAGAAGCCCAGAAGATGCTGTTTCTGACTCACACCCTGCTGCACTCCTGGAAATTTCAGGATACAATGCCTCTGATGAAGGAAACATTCTCATTCATTGGTGGGCAGTAGGAGAAAAGAGAAAGATATACAGAGACCAAGAAGTAAAAATTGGAAGAGGTGAGGGAAAGTATGGTCCAAAAACGGGTTTAAAGAAGCAAAATGGAGCAATGATAGAGGATTTGGGAGGGAGTTTTCAAGAGTTGGGTGGAACGGCTGACCAAAAGCAGAAGAAGTGTGTGGTTTTATCAATGAATAATGTCGAGTTTGCAGCTTAACTCTTGGTTCCGCACGATGCTAGATTTTGCACAAAATTCTTTGGCTTGAGTAATTAGGGAAGAGCGTGACACTGATTGCAATGGAATGGTTTACATGATTGGTGTCACATAATTTAACTCTCTGAACATTCAGCTTTTTTTGTCCTCTTCTTTAAATTGTTGTGATCATTTGAAATTTAGGATTCTTGAGTTTGTTTTGATGAGAGCAAGGCAAAAAAGCTTCTGTGATATGGCTTTTCACTAACATGTTAAAAAGTAAAGAATTCCTAAAATGTTTACATGAGACCTTTCTTAATCAACATATTTTTAACCCAATAAAGTGTGTCAGGTAGAGTGTTATTTCAGTGAAAGAACGTGAATATAGTGATAAACATAATTGGTTTTATGGTTGGAGTGGAAAGGGATAAAGCAATCAATAATGAAATATCAAAAGACGAGTGAGACAATATCAGCGATTTGGATTGTAGGGGTCGACAGGAAATCAAGATTGGCTAAGACAACAGAAAATGAACAAAAGCAAGCCTTCAAGTTGGAGCCAAAAAACTAAATATAAGGAGAAAAGTGGGTTTCCAAAAGTAAAGTTCCCTGGTTAGTAAAGGAAATTGTGAAATAAAAGTGGTTTATAACAAATGTTAAGTCCAAAACACAGTTGAAAACTTGAAATAAAATGTTTTATAAACATACAAGAGGATTATTATTGTAATGCTGGGACTGGTGATGGGCAAAGAAGGAAATTTTGTCTTGCACGCAGACCACATGACTGTGATATTAACGAAGAACATTGCATCAGATTTCATAAAAATTGATAAAATTAAGATTACAGTAGAGGTGCAAGGGAGTAGAAATTATTTGAAAGTAATGCGTAAAGGAAGCAAAAGACACTCGTGATGGAAGTGGGCTCAGGGTTGCAGAAAGAAGGCAGGAGAACAGCACAAGGCAAAATGCTCATTCAGAGAATGGGCACAGATACAATGGTCAAAAGGTCACCTTCTCACCTTCTGCACTGTCAAAGTTCTGTGACATTAAATGGGATGAAAATAGCAGCTGCTCAACAACTTTGCATCACTGAAAGTTAACATGATACCTGCTCCAGAGGGGGCACACCTTAACTTGCAAAAGGAATCTTGGATCGAGAGAGCAGATACCTTGACTACAATCTGTTAATCCTCCTTAGAAATGGAAAGCTGCCAGAAATCTGAAGAATTATAAATGTTACAAACCTATTCAATTAAGGGAAGACTCAGTTACCAGTTGAATATCTTTAACGGGAAACTACTAGAGACCATTGCCTGGGACAAAATTAATAGTCCTCCTTTAATAACTATAGGTTTATGAGGGATGTCCAGCATGTATTTGTTGAAACACATGTCTGACGGGCCTGAGTGAGATTTTTTTTCTGAAATAACAGAAAGGGTTAATGACAATAATGCTATAGATTTTTTTTGTGTGTTTGATAAAGTACCACATTGCAGTTATTCAGAACTAGAAACACGCAAGATTAAAGTGACAGTGCTAACTTTAGCTAAGGCTTATGATGCAATAAATCATTTTGAACAGAGAGAAATATCTAGACGTGTTCCCCAACAATGGGTGTTAAAATCATTGCTTTCCTTCTTATAGTGAAATAGTGTACAACCTTGGAGGATATTCATAACTCCGAAGATTGCAGGGCATTTACAATTAAGAGGAGATATTGAATACCCCACTTTGTAAATGGGGCATTGAATACAAAAACAAGAAGTTATTTTAAAACTGTACGTATTGGGGATTGGCATCAGATGTTGTATGAATGTAAAGCTGGAGATTACACTTTCGATGGAATCCCTGTGCTTTGGACAGGATGCAGAGGTTTTCAATAGATTAGTGATGTGCCCTACAAGGTAGTCATTAACAAATACAATCAAGTAACGACTTTATCCAGACAGTGGTTAGAGTATGGAATTCACTGGTTACTATCTATGAAGGTCTGGCTGGGTTCCAGGAGACAGAACAGGTGATACTTCCCTTCGTCCCACATCTTGACTGATCATAAGATGTACTTTTTTGAAGGAGCATTTTAACCCCTTGTGTACTGACACTTACGGAAGAAGTTGTCTGACTTTTTTTAAGTCAAAAGAAAGGAAATAATGTTTACTTATCACAAGACCCAAAGTATAATTGCAACCCACTCTTCCACATACAGTCTACACAAAGACATGTAGATTAATTAAAGGATCAACGTGTCAGTTGTATTATCTGACCTCAAAGCTGGTGTGTGAAAGGTTTTGATAACGATTCTCACTTGATTTATTTCTCGCTTGGCTGATAAAACGCGATAGCAAAGATATATACGTTAATTTTTCTCTGCAGGTAAAACAAGTTAGCCCCATTTCTCTACCTGTGATTACTTCCAGGTAGGAGCATTTCTTTTGCTTTCATTGGATCTCTTGCCTTGGGACCTTTATTGTGTCCCAGATGAACTAGTTTCTGGCATTTTGATAAAGTGTGCATTATAAGGCTGAATTTCACAGTCTTGAGTATAGGAGAACCTCACTTAAAGTTTCCCTCTGTGAACTCTATTCAGTCATCTCATGCAATTCTGTACTGTTTACTTAGCTATGTATGGCACCATGCCCATATAGTACAGTTTTCCTGCTGTCACATACTCACTAGTGACCGAAGTCCTAAGTGCTGCTAGGATTTGTGCAAATGGTGCCAGATTCAAATCCCTGCTGGGCAACAGGTGAGTCTCTGCCAGGCAGAAATAACCCTTCACATTACACATTGTGAGAGGGAAATGAAAAACTAAAGCTTCTGAGGGCACATAGGAGGCATAGATGACACTTCATTGGCAGTCAAAATTAGTAATTTGACATTACTACTTGACATCATCTTCTGTCTGATTGACTGTCATGGTGACTATACATGCAAGAATGAAGCAACACAGATTATCTATCCTTACTGCCATGCCTTGTTAGAACCCTCAACTAAATGCAAAATACTGCAGATGCTGGAAGTCAAAAATAAAAACAGTAAGTGCTGGAGAAACTCAGCAGGTCTGGCAGCATCTGTGAAGTCAGAAAGACAGTTAATATTTTGAACCCAATATAACTAGAACCTGCTGAGTTTCCCCAGCACTTCGTTTCCTGTCAGAACCCTATCAGATGGAATGCTACTCTTTGTTCCTTTCAATCCCACACCCCAGCAACTTGCTCCATCTTTTATACTTTTGAAAAGCGGCATGCCAAGGTTCCCACTAGACAATAGCAGATTCCCAATTCATGGGGATTATTGCCTGTTAAACACCTTGTTGTTTGCTTGACTTTCTTCTTTAATATTCAGCTCTTTCCAAACTTGCCAAACAAGCTAGACATCAAGAAAACTTGATATGAAAACCAAAGGAGTATCTGGTGGATTCAGGTCACCCCTTCTTGCTCCAAATGACTTTCATGCTGCCTTCAACTAAACCACAGTCCAGGGCATAATTCATGGGCATCAACCATGCACACCCTTTGACATTGGTATTTAGCATTTGACAACCCATCTGGTACCTGTCTGACACATACCCTGGAAATGCAAGCTTGCATTGCAAGGTAATTGCATTACCAGCAGCTAGCACTGAAAGGCTCCCACAGGGACACTTTGTGCAGTCACATAACCAGGCAGCTTGGCTTGTTAATCAGCAGTCTTCAGTCAAAGGGCAGACATGTTGCTGTGTCGAAGTTTGTTACATCAATCTCACATCCCTGCCCCACGTGCCAGCAGCTTACGCATGTGCAGCAAACTGGTAGTCATGTCTCAGAGTGTTAGGGGGAGTTGTCCTCACTGAAGTGCATGGAGGCACCAGTCACTCAGAGGAACCTGGCACAGTAAATGCCTCAGCAAATTAACCTTCAGGTCTGCGGCCTTCAGCTTCTGTGGAAGAGCAGAGTACAATTGTTCGCAAAAGATCAGCAGGATTTGCAGGACATGGATGTGGGGGGATGTGAGTTGGGGGGATTATGGGAAAGCATGGCTTGGTAGAGGTCAATGGGAATTTGTTCACAGTTGGGATCATTCTGGCTTCAAGGAGGGGTAATGTGTGACCACACCTGGCATGGTCACCTTATATGCCAGGGTGTGGGTAGGAGCTTTAGACAGGTGTAAGAACATGTAGATGGATTGGGTGGAGAGTTGGAGAAATAAGAAGCCTGAGAGATTAGTGGGGGGTGGGCTATTAGGAAGGAGTGATAGATATTTAGAAGCTCGCTGGTAAGTTTAGGCTAGGGCTGGAAGCCATCGGCAGTGGAATGCGTACTGTCACCTTTCGCTATGAAGAAAATCAAGAGTGCGCAATGCGTCAGAAAATGGCAGTGACCGTACTTGGAGTGGGT